CGGGCTGGGGCTTGTATCTTACCCCCTTCACAAGGCGCTGGGTTCTTGCAGGTGTGGATGTGGTCTGGATGTTGTCCTGTGTCCTGTGGTCTCTATTTTAGGAAGATTTTTCTTTGTTATATTTTCATAGCTCTATGTGTTTTTGGGAGGAGATTTCCACTGCTCTACTCACGCCGCCATCTTGGCTCCGCCCCCCCCTGGGTGGAGATTTTATATGCTAATGCTACATGAGATGACCCTGCAACATACATGTGTGTATGTAATCCAGTTGCACATGTGCTAATTGAAACCCTGCTCATGCTAGGTGACCTAATTAACGAGTAAACATTTTTGTTCCCCATAATAGGAGCTACCCTGATTCTTCGCCAGGGCTCTCTTAAGCCTCCCACCTTGGTCTATCAAAGTGTTCTTTTTCCTCACTTCTCTAATGAAGTGCAGGGCTTGCTTGCATAATCCTAAATCAAGGTGTTAAAAGGACCCTGTTCTAGTGTCTGCGAGTAACAACAGCAACTGCATAATCATAGCAACTGCTTTGTATGATAGTGACTTAGAATACTTTCATAAAGAATATGTAAAATTGAATAATTTCTGTGAGAAAGAATGGAAGTGAGTCTTCTAGCACCGACCAACTCCTGTAAAACAAAAAATTTATGATAGCTTAGAAAACTTTTCAGCTTCACAGTGTATTATTACTAATGTCTTGTAGAAGTTTTGGGTGTGTCAAATTTCGGAAAATCTCTGTCAGGTCTTTTCATGTATGAGCAGCAAGACTTAAGGGTATTTCATGTTTTGCTGTGCTGTGCTCACTCCTAAATATTCCTTGAATTGATGATGCTCGTTAACCACATTGCTGCCACCAACTTCAGAGGCCTTGCAAATGGCCCTGGTTGTGTGTGGAGGACTGTGAGCACGGAGGGGTCTCGGAGCGGGACGGAGTATGGGAGGGGTCTCGATGGGGAGAGAGTGTGTGTCCCGCCCGTAGTGGAGGGACCCGGGTGTGGGGAACAGACGTAGAGGAGGCCCCACGGAGGAGTGGAGCGCGACCAGGACTTGGGAGGATCCGACGTGAATGGGGCCGGGACGTGGGGCCGGCCGTGGGCGAGGGGGCCCGGGTGTGGGTGGGGCCGGCCGTGGGAGGGGTGTTCAGGCTGCGGGGCAGGCGGTGTTTGTTTTGGGAGGTAAGTTGTGCTCACACTGTCTTTGCCAGCATTGACGTAGCAGGCTCGCTGGAGGACCTCCCACGCCGGTAACATACCGGGTGATGTCTTACCAAGGCGCGAAGAGCTGAGTCGGTGGCAGCTAATCACAGTGACAGCTCCCGCCGGGGAGGTGAAGTCCGGACTTAGATTTCGTGCTCGCAGAGCCGGGGTAGCCAGCGCGGAGCGGAAGTCCAGCGGCTCGCGCGACGGTGAAAGTCCTCTGTAGCTAGGTGCGTTGCTAGCGAACCTCGAGGCCGGAGCCAGCGCTGACGCGACCGGAGGCTCCCCTAGCAGGGGCCCGGCGACCGGTAGAAGCCGGGGAGCAGGGGTGGGTGCTGGCCGCCGCAAAGCCCACGCAGAGCCGATACGCGGCGGTCCGTACAGACTCGCCGGGGTCCACGCCCCGCCTTCCGGGCTCCGCGTCTCCGCGGTTGTCTACGGAGGGTGAGCGGGTGACATCCTGACAGCTTCCCTCACTCTCACAAAACAACCGTATCTTTTAAAACCTCATTGTTGTCAAAAGTGGAGTCGAGATCACAGGAAACCAATGCACAACCGTGGTGGTGGTGGTGGGAGGGCTAGGGCCCGGAAGTGGGGGCGGCGGCGGGGAGTCAGCGGAGCCGGGAGGGCGAGAATGGGGGCTGGAGCCTTGGGGCGGGCTGGCTGGGGCAGCGCCCGCATGTGGGGGTCTGGCTCAGGTGGCGATCTGAGCTTGGGGAGGCTGGCGGTAGAGGGGAGTCTGGCCATAGGGAAGTAGGGGCTTGGTTAAGGCTGGGGTGTGGGCCCCCAGGCTTAAGCTTCAGTAGCACAGGGATGTTCCCACCAGGACTGCTTTTAGCAGAAAACTAGAAACCATGTTGATCCTCACTGACAGGAGGTTAATGACTGCATTTTTGTGGGTTAGAACTTTATTCTGAAGCAAAGGAATGAACTAATCATGTATATGTGCACGGATAAGGTAAATACCAGTGTATCAAATAAAGCAAAGGTGTACAAGAGTATAATTTATGTATAGTTCGAGATTGAATATATATTAAGACTATAAATGAAAATACTGGAATAATCATTTAAAGAGTGAACAGTTGCATACAGGGGTGTTGATGAAAAATTTATTTAAATAATCTTGAAATAAATAGTTTTATTTGAGCCAAACCCACAACTTATAAGCTCAAGGAAAATATAACTCCTAAGGGTGATAGATGTTCCAAAGGGCCCAAGTCACACAAACGTTTTATATCCTCCAGGAGACAAAGAACTTAAAGGAGAACCTTTCATTTACATAAGCTGTGATGCAAAGAAAAGAGTGTGTGTATGGCTGTGGTGAAATACATCTTTGAAATAAGGGGAAGGGCAAACATTCTTGCTTTTAGCAGGAATGCAGATGCCAATTGTTTAACTCTAAACAGGTGTCTTGCCAATGGGTTTCAGACCTGGGTAAGTTCGCTATGGATTCAGTGTGACCAAAGAAAATGACAGCAAAATGTTCTTGGGGTGAAAGGGTTATACCCAACTTTATTTCCAGGTGGCAGGTCAGTCACTAAAATCCCATTCACTCAGAGCAAGTCTGCATGCAGCAAGCCGGTCTCTGCCTCTGGGCCCCTCTGTCCGCACAGCTGTCCCGCACAGCCATCCTGCACAGTCGTCCCACACAGCCGTCCTCTGGGCCTCTGTCCTCGGCGCTGCCATCACCCCAGCCTCTGCTCTGCTCTTCTGCAGCCTTGCAGCCCTGCCACCGTGTCATGCCCAGAACACAAGGCAGAGCTCTTTTTATAGAGTCAACAGCCATGTATGGCCCACAGGTTTGCAGTGAGCTAGTCGACCAGGGCCAGATGAGAATCCTGGCCACAGAAACTCTCATTTTATCCATAACAGGTATTCTGTGTGCATGTTATTTAAATTTTGATGGATCTCATGTTGAGACTCATTGAATGAAACCTTCAATACTTAGGCCTTAGAAATCTCTGTGGTGGTCCCTAGCATGGTGGTTGTCTTTTCTTTAATTCACAGGGGTTATTATCTCTGAAAGACAAGAAAGGGAACCAGTCTGTGTGGACAGGGAGGCTTCACCTGTCTCACTAACCATGAGTCTATTAAACAGGTGCTGCCTGTTCCCTTTATTGTACTTTATCTTGAGCAAGAAAATCAACCAGAGCATAATTAAGACTCTTCTGGAATGTTGGGCAGGAGCAAAGGGACTGCTAATTTGAGGAAGGCCTGCAGGTGTTTCAGGGGACGGGTCACCCGGTTCTGAAATGGGAATAGAGGGATTATTCTGAGGATCAACATCCAGCATTTGGGCAGCCTGCACTTTATGAGGAATGGAGGGAATGTTCTGAGGACTGGCAGCCATGGGCTGGGCAGGTGAAATTCGTGGAGAGGAGTAAAGAGGAAGAAGTGGAGCAAGTGGTGTGGAGGGGTGAGGAGGACAGACTATTGATGGGATAGGACGTTTGAAAGCCACAGTGGCCAAGTCTCACATCTCAAGTCTGTCAAAGTCTCTCAAAAAATTAGGTACGACCTGTGAGTTTAGTAGTATTGTGTGGATTTACAGATGAGAAACTGCAGTTTGGAGATTTCAAGTGAACTCTCCAAGGCCAGTCTGGCTCCAGAGTTGCTGGCCTTAACTCTGTTCAGTACCTATGGATAAAATGAAAGGTCTTGTGGCCAGGATTCTCATCTGGCCCTGGTTGGCTAGCTCACTGCACATGTGTGGGCAATATGTTGCTGTTGACTTTATATAAAGAGCTCCACCCAGGAGTGTGGGTGTGATGCGGTGGCACAGCTGCAAGGCTGCAGGAGAGCAGAGCAGAGGCTGGAGTGGTGGCAGTGCCTAGGACAGAGGCCTAGAGGATGGCTGTGCGGGACAATTGTGTGGGCAGAGAGGCCCAGAGGCAGAGACTGGCTTGCTGCATGCAGACTCACTCTGAGTGAACGATGGGATTTTAGTGATTGACCTGCCACTGTGGAAATAAAGTTGTGTATAATCCTTTCACCCCAAAGAAACATTTTACTGTCATTTTGTTTGGTCACATTGAATCCATAGTATCCATAGTGAACTTGCCTGGGGCTGAAACCCATTGGCAAGACAGTATCACGCTCTGGAGATTTCAAGTGAACTCCCCAAGGTCAGTCTGGCTCCAAAGTTGCTGGCTTTAACTCTGTTCAGTATCTATGGATAAAATGAAAGGTCCTGTGGCCAGGATTCTCATCTGGCCCTGGTTGGCTAGCCCACTGCACACTGAATCCTTACAGCAGCACCATGAAGTTGACCCTGTCAATATTCTAGTTTATACTCAGGAGTGGACACATAGAAAGGGTAAGTGGTGAGATTAAAAGTAGAATCCAGAAGGTCAGGTTCTTTTATCTGGGCCTCCAGGCCATAGACAATGGCAGTGTTTGAAGAAACCTGAATGTGGCCTAGGGGAAGGGTATGAGAAGAATACAGGAGAATGTGAGGGTGCTCACACCCCTACCTTCCCAGCCCATCCACTGTTAACTCACCCTGCATTCTCCCAGAGCTGGCCAAGTGCCAGCATAGAGGAGGCAGTCCTGGGTCTGATGGTGAAGCAGTAAACTGAGCAGCGGCACACAGCCACTAAGGCTGCGGACTCTCCAGCCTGGGTTAGAACTAGTCCTGTTGTTCAGTTTCCAGGCAGGGGTCTTCAGCAAAGTCCAGGGAAGATCACTGGGCCTCCCAAATCACAGCTCTTTATCAGCCTCAGCAGGACAGAGCCAGTAGGGAGGAAACCCATAGTCTTGTTTTCTCCTAGACAAGTGCTACAGACATTCTTATGTACATGAAACTATACATTATGTGGCATATCAAGCAGACATACTCCACCAGGAGAAAGAGAAGGGGTTGAAGAGACAATGGCAGCCAGATTTGGGAAGCTGTAAACCTGGACCTACCAGAGAGGCAACACCCTAGCCAGTCCTGGGGAAAGCCTGGAAATCAGCTAATTTGTACCAGTGAATGCCAGGATGGACTAGCATGTAGAGTGCACAGGACCTTCTGGAAGTGGCTGTTCAAATGGGGCTTGGAGGACTGCCTGGAAGTGCCCAGAAACAGCAGGAATAAGGGCTCTTCCTGCCAGAGGCCTCTCCTGCCCGGCCCCTGTGTGTCTGTCTTTGAATCCCTTGGTGTTGCTCTCTGGGTCTCTGTGGGTCCCTCTCTCACCCCTCTGGATCTCTGAGTTTGCATCTTCATTACTTCTGTGTCTTTGCTATGTCCAGGTGCGTCTCAGTGCTTCCCTGTTTTCTTGTCTCAGAAATTTCTGGGGCTCCAGATGTTTTCCTTTGTGTCTTCCTCAAGGCCACAGTCCCACCCAGCATGATTCCAGTGGTTAGTTAATTTTTTCACCCCCAACCCCAGGGCTGTCTCGGGGGCTTAGCGGCTTCTGAGTCAGGCAAGTAAAGATGTTGGATCCCAGGGCGATTTTCAATTGCGGGAGACAGCATGGAGTCCACCTGCAGTAGCCACCAGGTGGCACTCAAGGACCATGTCAGCATTACCACTCTCCTCTGAGACACTTACGGATAAAATGAAAGCTCCTGTGGCCAGGATTCTCACCTGGCCCTAGTTGGCTAGCTCACTACACACGTCAGCAATACATTGCTACTGACTCTATATAAAGAGCTCTGTCCAGTGCTCTGGGTGACACGGCTGCAAGGCTGCAGGAGAGCAGAGCAGAGGCTGGAGTGGTGGCAGTGCTGAGGACAGAGGCCCAGAGGACAGCTGTGCTGGCAGAGAGGCCCCAGAGGACGGCTGTGCACATAGGCCCAGAGGCAGAGACTGTCTTGCTGCATGCAGACTTGCTCTGAGTAAATGAGGTTTTAGTGATACCTGCCACTGTGGAAATAAAGTTGGGTATAACTCTTTCACCCTGTCTTGGCAATGGGTTTCAGCCCCAGGCAAGTTTGCTATGGATTCAATGTGACCAAAAAAATTGACATCAAAATATTCTTGGGAGCGGAGCCAGGATGGCGGCGTGAGTAGAGCAGTGGAAATCTCCTCCCAAAAACACATAGAGCTATGAAAATATACCAAAGAAAAATCTTCCTAAAATAGAGACCACAGGACACAGGACAACATCCAGACCACATCCACACCTGCAAGAACCCAGCGCCTTGCGAAGGGGGTAAGATACAAGCCCCGGCCCGGCGGGACCCGAGCGCCCCTCCCCCCGGCTCCCGGCGGGTGGAAAGAAACCGGAGCGGTTTTTTTTTTGGC